GTAGATCAAACTACAGCTTCTGAGCTTTAATAAAGTACAGCTTCTGAGCTTTAATAAAGACTGACCAAACACATATATATAGTCCCCAAAATATCACAAATATATTTTACATGTTTTTCTGAAGAGCAGAATGCAAGCCTCATACTTTGAGAAACAAATACAAACCCAACCTACAATTTTGCTCCAATGTTTCACATTTACTTTGTGAGAACAAATGACTAGCAACTGTATCTAGAAACGAACATTACAAATATTTGCATTACATATTATTCTGCTGTGAATTCTTTAAAAAAATAACCAAGCCATTGGGTGCAATAATTTCTCTGTACAATTACATCTCAACCATCTGCCTAGCAGATAGGTATGTTGCCTTGGGTTTCATTGTAAATGCATTGCAGAGCCTGACATGGCGAAAAGGGTCCGATGCCTTCATCAATTAACTAAAACCATTGGTTAAAGATTCATTTGACTTTATGGAGTTAAATTCTTCTTCCTAAAATCCATTAAATTATTTAAAAAAATGAAAATCACTCCTTCTATAGATGTCAAAGGCAGACAAATAGCTCTTATGTAAAATAAACAAAGCACTGACAATATTTTAATATATTAAACTATCAATGTTTTGGGGCTTATTGCTGAATTGTATGTAGTTACTATCCATAAAAAGGGTGATAAAACTCGAACAAGAAATCATAAACCAATAAATAATAGTTCTACAACAGAACATTTTCAACAGGAACAATTTTTATTCAACAACCAAGGAGTACCAGGGGTAATGAATATTAACAGAGCACATTATATTCAGATTTTCAAGTCTTTTGATAAAGTTCCTCATAGTCATCAATTCTCAAAGTAAAGAGGCAAACAATCAAGGTCATGCTTGTACTGCCAAAATAAGTGATACACCAACATAGTGACTTAATAGGGTGTTGGGTCACCATGTGCTCAACGTCAATGTGCCTTGGTACATATTCCACAAGTGTCCAGAACTCCACCAGAAGGTTGCGACACTATTTTTCAACAAACACGTCTATCATTTGTGTTTTGTTAAAGGTGGTGGAAAACGCTGTCTGAGGTGCCACTCAGCATTCAATTGGGTTGAGATCTGGTAACTGGGAAAGCCCTTGCATATGGTTTATATCACTTTCATGCTCATCAAACCCTTCGTTAACTGGTGGGGGGCTTTGTAGTCCTGGAAGTTTCCATACCCATCAGGATAGAAATGTCTCACCATAGGATAAACATGCTCACTCAGAATGGCTTTGTATTTATTGGCATTTACCTTGCCCCAAAAGGGATTGAATGCCATGCCAGGAAACTGCACCTTTCAACATAACAGAACTCCTAGAATCCTTCACTGTGGGAAACAAGACTCAATCCTGTAGGCCTCTTTTGGCATGTGCCACACATGTACTCATCCTCTTGTTGACAACACAGTGAAGGATAATTCATCTGACCATATGGCTTTTTTGCACTGCTCAGTCAACCAGAGTTTTAGGTGTAACAAGGTTTTTATGCATTGCAACTTGACCATATTATCACTTTCTGTAAAGTTCTTGATGGACTGTACTTGATGAAACTGCCTGCTTATTCCTCCAATTGACATTTGCAGTCATCTGATTCAGAATTGCTCATCTGTTTTGCCTTACAACTCAAACCAATGTACTGCCAGTCCACTGCTGGAAACATGCACATATACATTTAAGAATACAAGAACTATTTAGAGATACCAATTAACTTAGCATGTGTTAGGAAGGTGGTTGAAAAGCATAGCTCCCAGAGTAAAACCACACAGAAAGAACATATGGACTGCACACTTGAGGTGACCAAGACCATTAAAGTCAGGACCCAGGGTCTCCAAGCCAGCAGCACTAAGAATTTCAGCAAAGAAGGTTTGCTGGACATGAGATACCCCTCAGTTCAAGATGGAGAAATGGGCAGAAGGGTGGTGAAATAGACAGAAACAATAGTTTCAGTAAACTTTTCCTAATTATTAGAGATGTGACACACAAGAGATATTCGAGAAAAGAAAACACAAAGCCAAGAAAGAAATCACAAAGATATGGTAAGAAGTTCAGCCTGTCCGCAAAGATCAAACAGTCAATGCATGGTTGTGCATTATAATGCCAGCATGATTAATCTAAACATGATCTGAATCTGAGATACATAGCCCTGCTAGAATATCAGTAGAAGTACCTATTCACTGCAACAAAAACATGCTTGTGGTCAGTCCTTTAGGAACATAAAAAAGGGCAGGCTTGGAGCTTGTCAATTATAAATCAAATTAACTTTACAAACAAATTTAGGAATTTCCCTGTGTCTTATTCTTTTATACAAGCACAACACCCTCACTTCAGTGCCATGCAGAGTGACATAATAAAATACAGCAAAAGTTCTTTGTTGTTGTTGCAGCTCCCTGCCCTCCGATCAAAAGAAAATCTCTAAGGTTTCTCTTATTCCCAGTGGCTTTTAGTATTGCACGGAACAAAAAGCATGCAGGAAGGAAAAAAAGCTGGCAAAACAGTTTCTAATCTGATAAAGGAAAATTGTGGACCTTGCTTTTCATCAGGGGCAGTACTTTCTCAGAAAAAAAACAGTAAGAAATTTCTAAAGCACAGAGTACTAAATTAGGTGCAAGCAATTTAAACTATTATTTGTATGCAACTATAAATTTGTAAATAAAGCTTATACAGCAAATAATTGTTTCATAATTCTGTTATTAAATTATAAAAAGCTTAGTTGATTTTATAACATATTTTAATATGTGTGCCTCATCATTTAAATTGACTTACTATTGATAACGATGTTGTAGGTCACAAAATATTTAATGTACTTAAACCCTGTTCATTTTCTTTCCCCCTCCCCAAACCTGAAGTTAGTAAAATGGCAAAATAAGTCTTCACCCCAGGCCAATAATTACAGAACACTGCCAAGCAGGATCCACCATACAGTCTGGTACGCAAACATGTACCTTGAAAAACAAATGCATAATATAAAGAAAATCTTAAACATGTTTATTTCACCAGTAAAACTGCAATACGTATTCCTATACATTTGTCAAATTGATTTATAACAGCCAGAAAGATTTTATTACTAAAACAGTGAGTGAATTCAACATTGCATATCACTTCAAAAAAGCAGGCATTGCCAGTTAGGATATCAGCCAGCACAGGTGCACGTAACCCTATTTATTTTAAACCTTAGGAGTATCTCAATTTATTCAATTTGACTAAAATGCACCTAGAGCATGGCTGTCATAGAGGCAACTTACACAAGGCACTCATATTTGATGTAATTTAACCCACATGTGCTTGGCAATGAAATACAGTCCCTGCTGTGCTGATTTTTTAAATTTCTCTTTTTGAATGGCCTTGAATAATGTCCATTACATTATGTCCATTTACCTAGCTCCCCTCTTAAGCTCTTGGCTAGAGCCAGTCACACATCTACTTTTATGGACAAAGCCAATCATTTACTTCAACCCTATTTCACACCGGGGATCTAAAAATCTTGGCAGGACTATCTTTCACCAATAATATTCAAGAGCACAGGACATTATGGCCTTCAGGGCAATCTGTATCTCAAATGGCCTATTGTCTCATAAACTCTCAGATCTATGAGCTTGAGTAGGGAACATTCTAAAGATGCACAGCAGTTGATTTTAACCCATTCCATTGGGGACCAATACAAACTGTTTTTCTATCCCTGCAATATATTCTCCTTTACAAACAAGTATAGCAAATTTGTCAGTGTCTATTTTGCAGCAACATATGGTTTTAAAATTCAGATATCTTTAATAGGCATGTACAAAGAACTACAATGTTGCCAGAGCAATGTTATACATTATGTTGCTATTTGAATTGATTAGGTTTTTTGTTTATATATATGGATCAGAAGGGGCTAGGAAAATGTCTTTTGTGTGAATTATTGTTATCACACTACACAGAGAACGTTAGACAAAATTAGTTTCTGGCACTAAAATTAAAATGTCGATTACATAAAAAATATTTGCGAAATTTCAGTTGCTCACCTAAACCCCTATAACACCTCGTTCGTTTCAATCTGTCTCTGAGAGGTTGAAAGCTAAAAGAGCTTTATTTACACCAATTACGGAGCACCATAACAAATTACTAGGAAGAGTTCCATTTATACCATTTGGATTGATAAAAACAATGAAAAAAGAAATTTCAGTTTTAAAAAGAGGCTATTAAATGAATAGATAAGTCCAGGACAGAGAAGTCCACTAGACAGGAACCCACAGGGCATACAGTCTAGTTAATATTTTGAGCTTATTAAGGATTCTGGTGCTGTAGCCTAGGTATGTTTGTGGCAGTGAGCTCCCAGTTATTTGTATGCAGCAGGTCTTGCAATCTGTGCCCTAAAAAGCCCTTTTAACCAAGCTCTACTTGAGCAGAATTGTTCTAACTCAGATCTTCACTGCATCACCAAGTGCAGGATTCAGCAGTGCACAGAATGCTAATACGTCTGCTGTTGCTTGGGCTTTTTGGAAATGTCGGAAAAATTCAACATATAACGGTGCTGTCCTTCCTATGCACACAATTAGTCAAGAGGTACAAAAAAAACATGAAAACCACAAAACATTCTTTAAAAATGTGGAAATTAAATGTTCTAAAAGTGTGCATGGATTATACCTCTCAATGTTTTCAATCACAGATTTGTAAATATTAAACACTTAAGTGCAAGAAACCTGTTGTTCATGATCTCCCACTGGGAATATCACAGTATTCAAAAATTTGCCTCGGGTAAATTTGCCTCGGGTACCAAAGACTTAAAGTTTTAAGATCCAACATTTATATCTTTAAAATCTAATGTTGTGAAGTTATTTGAAATGGCTAAATAAGTGTTAATCGTAATTAGGTGTTCTTGCATACTAATACTTTTAGCAAAAACAGTAGGTAGTTAACAACAAACATTTTTTTTAAATTGAAAAATAGTCTCACATCTATGTACCCTTATAAGCTGTACCATGTCAATGTTACCTTTCAGCAAGGTCAGCGAACAGTCTGTTCTGGTTATTGAAGACTGTCTTCTTCTGCACTTGTTCTTTCTTGACCTCTTGCAAGCTTTCTCCTTATTAAACACAGATCCAGTGTCCAGAAAGCAAAACATTTGCTTGATCTCTTCCCATTGATGCCAATCTCCCAGGCTCCTCTATTACCAAGCTTCAAGAGATCTGTGAATGATGTTCAAGTTGTCAAATTTCACACTGAAATAATTATACTGCTTCAACAGAGGATAGACCCCAAAAACAGAAAAATAGCTGAGCAGTTAGCTGCTTGTTATTAACAACACAATTTTATAAATAGTGTAGAAATTCACTGCAGTGACCTAATGAATAATGCACTAAAGCTTTAATGAAATGTTGTACAACAAAGTGCTGTCTTAAAGGGGAAGTTCAATGCTATTTTTATATTTTGGGGTTAGAAAGAATCTACATTGATGAATGTGTTTCAAACCATGAAAAAGTAAAATATACACAGTAAATTGTAAAACTTCTAATTTACATCACACAATAGACAACATTTCCAGGTATGTGAAGTGCCATGTTTTGCGATTCAGAACGAGGCAACAAAACGTCCAGTGAGGTGATGCAGCCTCGTGACACAGTAAAGACGCAGGCTTGCGAATATATCTCTTTTAATCCAACAGAAATATTTATACTTTTTAACTTTGCATGCAGATCACATTGGAACATGTCTGCACTGAAATGTCATCTGCCTGACCTCTATTTATTCACCGTACACCACATTACATTAGTCATTACGGTGACTTGTGAGCAGGAAGGGCTGCATCATGTTGCAATTCGTGGGAACTCAAATGCGAGCTTCTGACAACATGGCGACTCATAGTACTCTGACAAAGTTCACGATTCTGTGCTTAATTTGAAATTTGTATTTTTTTTTCTATAAAATAAATTAATTTTGTTACCAAGATTTAATAACCAGTATGAGAAATTGGAACTACAGTTCTCCTTTAAAAATTAAGCATATATAAAGATATTTCCATAAAGTACAGCTGGTTAAGGAATTAAACTAAACTTTACCCATTAGAAATCAATCAAATATCAATTGATCAACTTCAACTGTAAGGTGATTTAAGTTAGAATGTGGCTTAGTATAATTTTATGCCACTAACTCCTCCTGTCTGCTTTTGCAAGGCCATTTATCATTTTGACATCAGATTATATTATAAACTATTAGTTTTAAGCAGCAGAAAATGGGTAGGGCTTAGCATTATCCCTTTAATGAATCACTGTTTAATTAATAAACTTTAAAAGGCCCTCACCCTTTAAAATGAACATTCACACACAGTGTCATTTTTCACAAACTGATAAGAGCCCTCTGCACTCTTTGAAATAACAGAAACATACGTTGGACATCCCTGGTACAGAGAAATCATAGAGTAATATTTCAAACACAGCTTAAGCTCTATTAAAAAGTAAAAGCTTCAGATCTGCCTAACTAAATATATGTACATTAATACAGACACAGTATCCTTTAAATATTAAAAGCAGAATTATTTGATGTCTTCTACCAAAGACCATAATAATTACACCTAGACTAATATGGAGCAAAAGAGGAGATCCCATATCTATGAATTGGCTACATTACTCTGCTCTCCTCCCCACTGATAGCTGATGTGTGGTGAGTGTTCTGGCGCACTATGGCTGCCGTCGCATCATCCAGGTGGATGCTGCACATTGGTGGTGGTGGAGGGGAGTCCCCATTACCTGTAAAGCGCTTTGAGTGGAGTATCCAGAAGAGCGCTATATCTTGGTGGATCAAGGCTTTTAAAGTGGAACACAGGACTGGAGAAACAATGAAAAACACTGCACTGTAAATGCAAGAGTGCCTTAGCTGAAACTGCTGCAAAAAGACAGAAAACAGGAGGATGTTGTACATCAAATTATCCTGCTTCACTAACTAAAATACAGTTGAAGGGACATTATACCTTAATTGATTTCCAGCATATAGACATACTAAATGTATGTGCTAGAAAAAACCATGATTTAAAAGGTTCTGCAGAGAAAATATTAAACTGCTAATTTAAAACTGAAGATGTTCTTCCGCAGTACAGCTTATGGAGAAATATTATCAGAGTTTTCTTTTATTGCTGCCTGGATGTACAGAAATAATGTAAAAATCTGAAAATTGCTGAATACCACCATACATAAAAAAATCTGTTGTGTTTGCTCCAAAGCATATCAGCAACCTAACTAGGATACTTAAAACTAATATGCACAGGTAATGAAAAAGACTGTTAAAATACATAAAATAATATGATACACAGCATAAAAAGATGGAACTTTTGACACAGTGGTTTAATATTTAACTTTCCCTAAACAGCTCTTCAGACACAGTTAAGAGTTAGGAAGTAAAAAAGATAAGAGGTGGAACAAGGTCACAGTTACCTTTGAGCAGAAGTCTGAAATGTCATAAAGAAAGTGAAGTTGTGTTTGTTCCAAACTACTCTTCCAATATATTCTAAGTAAGTATTTTGCGACATAATGTTCCACAAAACAGTAAGAGACAACAACACACAGCAGCACAAAGAGTAAACAGAACAATTAAAAAAATAACTATTTACACAATTACAAAAAGATTGTGGAGTCCACAGACAATCTAATCATTCGGTTAATTATAATGTCTCTCGATAAGGTAATGTGATTTACAACATCACCTTGAAGATAAACTACCTGTTGCAACAACAAAAAAGATAAAACAAGGGGAACAAAGCTTGAATAATGAGGGAGTTTTTTTAGTGTAAATGTCTTTTCTTGATATTGATTTGAACTATTTCATATAGATTTTCTTTAACTGTAAAAAAGATGAGAGGGTTATTATTTTGGCTGTGGGGTTAACAAGATCCATTTTAGTTGTATTCATAGGTAACCTTTATATCTAGAAGATGATAAAGTATCTATCTATGACATTTAAAATAGGTATATATTATATTTAATAAGAAATGGTAAAAAATTGCATTTATATTTTAGTATCAAGTGTAAAAAATGGACAAAAGAAAGGGCACATTTATTTCTTAACCTTTTCTAGATTTTAAGTAAAATAGCAACTATATGACAGATAAGGCTCATTGATTAAATCTACAGGGTGTCAGTGGTTAAAATATAATCAGGCCTAAACTAATACAGGAGCTCCTATATATTAGTAAGTGAAAGGTATGCTTTGAAGATTAAGATTAAAAAGGTCAGATACTATACATGATGAGAGTCAGACAGTTTTGCACACAGCGTTGAAGCTGTCATTTGGCCCGAGAAGCAGTTGAGATTTTATTATCCAGGCTTGCTCTGTAAACAGGTGGGGTTTGGAACCATGTGCCAGCCACCATTCTAGCCACAAACCATGTGAAGCTCCTCACAGCAGCTGGAGGCGGCCAGCACCACAGAACAGAGCGACTGCACGTGTATGTGATTACATGGTGCAAAGAGGTGGGAAATCTGTTTTCACACAGCCGTCAGTGCTACTTTAAGACTCATCTTGTGTCTAGAAAGTTGGTCTTCTTAAAAGAAGCAGCTATATTCTCCTTATGTTTAAATAAGTTTTGTCACCATTTCTGTCTACTCTGAAATTTTAAATGTTAATATAATTATAAGAGTTAAACCTTTCTTATATAATTTAAAAGCTTCTAATAAGTGTTAATGATTAGAACGTTAAAAAAACAGGAATTAACTTATCCTACTCAGGAGTATGGCTTGTAAAAAAAAAAGATGTCAGGTTTCACTTGTACTTAGGAGATGGCATTCTAGTCACCTTCTGTTGCTTTGGAGGAATTAAGAATTAAGTTCTTCACAGAAACCAATATATTTACGATCGTAAACCAGATAACATTGTGAAAAAAGGTCCACGTTCCTCCAAGGAGGACCTGTTGGTTATGAAATATTGAAATTATGTTTGAGCCTGTCTGGAACATTACAAATGCAAGCCTTAAAAAAGTGTTCTTCTTGCTTTAGAATGAGGAATTTTTTTAAAAAAAATGTGTAGTAAACCAAAAAAGAAAATGAATTTCAAAGGTAACAGCTAGCACTCCAACTGCACCTAAACAAGGAAAGGCAGACAGTTTGCTTTGCATCAAAATACTGCATAACGAGGCATCAGACATCAGCAGCTGTCAAGATCAAAGCACGCTACATCTCAGAAAGAAAAGGTCTGCTTTATGATACATGACCTGCACCCCATTATCTCAGTCTAATATTTGTGATACAGGCTCAATTTGTTGCCATAAAAAGAAATATGTCTGATTCATCACTGGTGGATTATGTAGCAGTAATAAAGACTCCTGTCACTTCCATTCTGAATTTACAATTCATTTACAGCACCTAAGCCACCCGGAGAATACCCCACAGCTGAAGCGTTGTTTCTTTTCTTCTCTTTTCAGCATGGAATAAACTTTTACTTGTTCCTTTGCAACCACAATTATGTGATTTTCCTCTTTTAGCAAACAATGGGAAAAATGTATTTTTTTTTAAAGAAAGAAGTTGATAAAAAGTCCAATATACAGTAACAGCACACCCAAATACCTGATATTTAGAAGAGGGAAACTAAACATTTTCAAGACAACAAGGCAAAGCAGCTATTTTGTTTTTGCATGCCATGCACATACATACCACAAACCCCATGGATGTATCTGATGCTGGATTAAATCTTGGACTAATTCTGCCAGTTGCAGTTTTGCTATATTAGTTTTAAGTTACGAGCTGTTTGTGATGAAGATAATAAATCTCTGTCCTTAGGATGGCTTTTTCCTGTATCGACAACTCCTCTTTGAATAATTAAATTGCTACTTGAAACCTAAATAAGCAGCTGAAATAAGCAGCTAAGCAGGTGTGAGCCTGGTCAGTACCTGGATGGGAGACCTCCTGGGAAAAACTAAGGTTGCTGCTGGAAGAGGTGTTAGTGGGGCCAGCAGGGGGCGCTCACCCCCCGGCTCATGTGGGTCCTAATGCCCCAGTGTAGTGACGGGGACACTATACTGTAAACAGGCGCCGTCCTTCGGATGAGACCTAAAAACCGAGGTCCTGACTCTCTGTGGTCATTAAAAAATCCCAGGGTGTTTCTCAAAAAGAGTAGGGGTGTACCCCGGCGTCCTGGCCAAATTTCTCATCGGCCTTTATCAATCATGGCCTCCTAACAATCCCCCTCTATAAATTGGCTTCATTACTCTGCTCTCCTCCCCACTGAGAGCTGATGTGTGGTGAGCGTTACGGCGCACTATGGCTGCCGACGCATCATCCAGGTGGATGCTGCACATTGGTGGTGGTGGAGGGGAGTCCCCATTACCTGTAAAGCGCTTTGAGTGGAGTTTCCAGAAAAGCGCTATATAAGTGTAAGCAATTATAATTATTATTAAATAAGCTGATAAACAAAGGCAAAATTCAAGATATAAAGCAACTCAAACTTCAGTTCAATCTGTCAAAGGCATCATGCTGTAAAACAAATATTACTTTTGACTTAGCACCTACCCAATAACTGTCTCACAGGAAGGAACTCAGCCTAAACATATAATGGAATTTATCACATGACCTCTATCCATGGACTGAGAAGAGGCAGTTTTTCTTTATTGCACTGGCTAAGTTCCATGTTTGCTGAAATTGAGAGGTACATTTTATTGGAAAGGCTCTATGTAGTACTTCTCTATACACCTCTTGTACCATGTCTCCTCTTAAATAAATAAAAAAGCTACACAGTCTATTCTGTCTGTACTACCAGACACAACTGTGACTGTGAGCACCAGGCCAGATGAAAAAAAAAATCCTGGCCAATGACACATTTCTTTCACCTTGGAAAATATTAGGAGATTGGAGTTTTAATGAGGCTTCCAGAGCACTGGACACATGAGTAAAGGAAAAAGTAACAGATTCTGGTACTGAGCTTTCTAACCGAATACCACACATCAAGCAGCACCAGTCTCGAGCTTTCAATAGGCTCTCTCCCTTCAACAAAAGGATGTTCAAGCCATATTACATAATCCAAACAAAACTAATCAGAAACAGAAGAAAAAAAAACATGAAATCCCTTTTTTCTCTCCAGCACATTAAAATATTAATAACTTGAACAACTGCAGAACTCTTAGATGAACAACAGAGAATTGTTTTGAAACAACTTTTTAGATTTTACACTCTGCTAACTGCTCTACTATTAAGCAAAATATATCCAGCTACATACATTTAACAATCCACAAACTTTTCACATAATCTGTACACATGAAAACAACCAGCACACATCTTGTGCCACTCACCATATTGGTAAACAATACACTTTGCACAAGAGTATTAAGGTATGGTTCGCTAATTAACAAAGAACATTTTAATGTCTTTCACTTGAGTTCAATGGATGATCTACTGAGAGTCATTGCGTTTTCTCTTAACAACTCTATCATTACCAATTACAATATTTCATTTCAAGTGACAAATGTGGAAAAAGTGCACATCTGTTTCTTGATTTTTGTTTTTCATGTAGTGTGTGTAGTGAAAAACTGAAAAACATGCTGGTAGTGAACAAGAAACAAACAAACGGTATGGTAACTTTTGTGTTACATGGCTTAATTTAAGAAAATAATTGGATATACTGTATGAAGACAGAAAAAAGAGAAATATAAAAGTGAAGGGAATAGATGAGCCAGCTCCTGAAATGGAAAGCATTACAGAAATTTTAGTTGTGCGTGTGGGAGGCAATCACGTCTGCATGGCACATGTAGAGCAACTACATCACTTATAATTAAATAGGAGCTTGTCCATCTGACTGCTGGTGAAATGTCAAGTGCAGGTACACTCCCACCCTCTTCTCTTGTTTGCCTGTTAACAGATATACATCAGTGTCTACCCACTGCAAGGTAAAAACAGATGGAGCAAAACCTATCACCACCCCACCCCCACCAGAGCACTGTCTAATCACAGAGATCTGGCATCACAGGGGGAAAACCGCTGCAGTTCTTTGAGTTCCTCAGAATTTCCATGATTTCCATGTCAGTGTAATCAGAGCTAGCATTTTAACAAGAAGCAAAACAATGGTATGTAAACACGCTCACCTGCTACACTCTTAGAAATCTGCAGAAAAAGAACTCTGAAGGCTGACAGAATCAATTCAGATCACTTTCTCCTCTGGCTTCATACTGTACTTCAAGGGCTACAGAGTAAACTGTATAAAGGATGATTTTATGGTACTGTTTTCACACTATTAGTAACTTCAAACTTCCAGCTGAAACAATTTGGAAGATGGATGTGTCCCTTGGGGTAAACAAGTTTCTTCCTGTATCTGCATTTTAGTGCATAACCATGGCTTCACAGCTAGATATAGTACATCACCATCTGGAACTCTGCCCATCAATTAGTGAGTAAACTAGTTAATGTGCAGTTGTACAGATAGAGGCCTCACCGGACAATGCTTGGGAACAAATACAGACAAACCATACATCATGTAACCTCATGATGCAGCAAAGGAATGGAAGAACAAGAAAGAATTCTGTTATTTCAGCACACGACAGATAACTTTAGTGTGCTGACCTTTCAAAAAGTACACACAATCCATTAAAATCCATAAAATGCACATATTCTTCTAAATATATTTGTTCAAATAAAATGGTTATTCCACTCCATTCTGTGCATTATTAACTAAAATGTGGAAACAAACTATAAAGCTAGTTTTAAAATGGGTAAACGGTTCTCTTTTATAACTTGTGTGGAATTAAAGGAAACAAGCTTAGCTCATGCAATGTAATGCAAGCCTATTCAATGATTTTGAAGACTGTAAAAAAATATATTCTTCCTATTCATATGCTCTGTTATTAGGCATTTTCTATGTGTGCATGGCTCTGATCTTACAGTCTTAAGCTGTGAGCATTTTTGTTCAAGTTTTTTTTTAGTTCTAAAGAAACATTCATACCATTTGCTTGTTAAATTATTGGAGAACAACCAGAAACAAAACCAAAACTCAATGAGCAAACAGAAGCTTACCACCTCTGGGCTACAAACTGTTTTCTCTGGCTGGATGTCTAGTTATCACTACCACGATCAGAGACCACACTGTAAAGCATTTGTGAGAGACCTACACCAAGCAAACCCAATAAAAATAGGCACTAATATGCTGCATTATTTTTATATTTACATTATGAACCATGTGATAAACATTTAAAACAAATTACCCCAAGATGTTTATAAAAACAGAAGTGATTTTCTCTTTCTCTACAGACTGTTATGAAAAAAAGCCTGAATATTTATACTATGTGGGCTACAATCTAAAATGCACACAGCAAATACTGTAAACATTAAGTGAATCTATGCAATGGGAGCATTTGCCTATTAACTACTTGTCAGCAAAACAAAATCAGTTGAGTCAAGTGTCGTTCCAGATCACTTGTTTAACAGATAACATTGGGTGTTTCAAAACATTCTGAATGGCGTAAACATAATCATGAAGTAAATTGATTAAAATATAAGTACTCATATGACTACTTTGTACATAAATATTTTATTCTTTATACAACCAGAATAGCACTTTACACCATGTTATTTTTTCCTTCTACTCTATTCAAACTCTGATGACTATATACTATGAAAATGTTATAGCTGTTGGATATATTCTAATACTAACAAAGATTAAGCTTCAAAATCACATTTAACGTGGCCTTTGAAACACCTAAACATTGATGCTTTAGCTTTATTTAGCTATATAATATAATAACTGATACAATATTTAGCTGTAGATTGGTTTAGGATCTGATGAATCACCTTTAATCATATATTTGTTAAAAGGTAGTACATACTGGTATCTGTATAGAATTCCTTCACAGGGAGGATGTCCAATTGCCTTTCAGTGAAAACCTGAAAGAAAAATAAACGTTAAATTGAAGAAATTCTGTAACATCAATAAAACAATTCCATAACTGTACAACAATCACTCCATAAACAGCCACAAACCACATAGACAGAATGCAGAAGTGCAGACAGAATCCTGCATAGTATCTTTAAAGCCATTCACCTTTTGATACTCTACAAATTCTACAGCTTGGTGCTCACTGGAGGTATGGAATGCCCCCTCAGTAATGTCAAATCAAGCTAGTATACGAAAGAGCCCAGCAAGACTAATCCCAACCCGTCCCCCAGCAGTGATATGACTCAGGCTCAAACCCATGACTTCTAGATCATAGAGCTCAACCTGTGCTCAAATTGAGCACCTTTAAAGGTGGAAAACTCTGAAGATTTTACATTTGTTTAAAAAACAAAAACAGAAAAAAAATCCATGCTTGAGGACTAACATTTTTCAAATGGTTAACTACTTGAACAAACTATAGATAAACCACCTTGTAAAACAGGGATATTAATGATCCTATAGAATATTCGGTAAAAAGGAAAAAAAGTACTGTATTTTGGAATTAAGTTTTAATAAGAAATTAATTTCCAACCACTTTTATTTCAGCTACTGTAGATACTTCATAATCTACCAATGAGACTTGATAAAGTATTTCAAATCTCTGTGCCTTGCAATTACATGATAAATCTTTTAGCAATAATAATATTCAAATTCTTTCACGTGGACATTCCTTTAAAACTTGAACTGAGAGAAACATGTTTCGACAAGGAGACAAAATACCAAGATGGAAAAAAACAGCATTTGCTTGAGCTGTGTTTTTTAATGATCCATGTTTATCACAACTTTCAATACTGCCACATAGATAGCCATTAACCATTTAGACTGCCCCATGATCTCGCGTTACACTGCTTCTTACAAAACTATGGAAAAAGTGTGAGACGTTTTCCCTGTTTAAACAGCACATTAAATCATGAGACTTTACAAATCTTTCAGTGTACTATATTCAAATAAACAATTTGATATATTTAATATACAAAAATTATATACTGAGCATCAAAAGGAAATGTGTTTTTCTTCCTAAAAATAAAGGGAAAAATATTTTTTTGGTACTAACTTGATTAAATGATTATTCGTGATCTGCCATAATACACTCCACTGACCTTGACTTCTGCATGAACACCGAATCATCTCATTGATGAGATAGCTGACTGGCCACAGGCAATGAGATGATTCAACCTTTATGAAGCCCAGTGAAAACTGAGAAAGTAAAACACTGATATAATACCTGCTTATCAAAAGAACAACACATTCATGCCATCAGTATGTTGGAGCAACAGCTTAGGGACTCCCCAGCAGTAGAGCCAAGTGCTCTTCAGTGATGAATCAATTTTTTGTGCAGACCACCCTGGTGCATGTCAGCGAGTTTGGCGAAGAACTGCAGAACAATACACTAACTGTTGTGTATAACAGCCCAATCTCTGAGGCCCAAATTTAATGGTCTGGAAAGGAGTGTCTAGCATAATAAAACCTAATATCTGCAGGAGTATCTACAAAACATGTAGTGATGGACAGAAACCTGGCTGCACGGGACTACACTGATCAAGTCTTTCACCTGCTGCTCTTCCTGCAGTCCCATCCTCACATGACAACATTACAGGATGACAATGCACATCCTCATGTGGCTGCTACATGTCTTTCTTATGAGATGAGAATGTGAGAGTTATACACTATACATTTAATTTGTTCAATTTGCCAAACTTGAGTTCCTGAACATCTCTGAGATGAGCTGGGTCTTTTCTTGACATCTAGAACTAAGAGACCAGTGAACAGACAAGTGCTTTCTAGGCTCTATGAGAGGAATGGAACAGAATCCTCCAAGACAGCACCTGCTGTCCTGCTTGTAACGATCAGCTCTCCCAAGTGTTGGACTGTTGCCATGATCCCAGGCTCATCCCTTCCGGTCTTTATCCTCTCTAAAACCGCAGAGCAATCCCCGCTCTCTTTTTGCTTTCCAAGCTTTACCTGCTTCATGACTATCATGCCCCACAGTAATGAAAAGGGCAATAAAACTGTCAGGCAGTCTGTAAAGTCTTCTCTACCTGTCATTTCCCATGCCATTACACTCAAACCAGAACCACTCAGTACAACGCAACACCGATTTTTCAACGGATACACGCATGTTTAGTGAATTAGTTTCTTATGCTACATGATAAATAAATGATACTCCCGTGACTGGGTATGACTAGGTATGAATCCCCTGACTAGGTAACCCCCAATCTCAGCTCATCCAAAATAAATAAAATCTTTTTTAAGACCAGGACGTTTCTAGCTAGAAGTTTTTCTTCTAGTGAACTGCAATGTACGTGCCGATATGCAGAATTTACTTTGGAAACACTCATAGATCTAGAACAGCATTAGAGCATTTCACCAATTAACAGTGGCTAATACCACTACTAACCGCTATTAAGAGTTAATACCTCTAACATCAGAAGTTTGCATGTATGTAAAATGTATAAGTGCTCTCTTACTATACAGTCAGCTCAAAATAGTTCAAATCTATGTTCATAAGCGGTATACTAAATTTATTTCAAGCATTCGGAAATGATTTTGTGTTAAATTGAAGTGGGAAAATGTACTGTTCAAGTTGAACGCTGATCTGCCAGTTCCTCTTACACTATGTTAATATTGACAGTTAAATTGTCATGCTTTCTATCTCAGTGATGTGAACATTTTACATAATACTCAAAAGAAAATGGCCACTTCAATGTCCTGAAGTGCACTACACATTTTTACTTAAAGGTAAAAGAGTTACTTACGATGTTCCCAAGGTCAGCAAAGAAGTCACCCAAAATGCTCATATCCCACCAGGACTGATTCATGACCCTGAATTCTAGCTAACTTTCCCCAGGACTGACTCAGCTTTACAGTTAGAAAGAGATCTTCCCCTGCAATTAAATATCTTACAAATATACAAAATGTCATTTAAAAAACCCTTCTTATGTTTTTACTTGGTCCTGACATATTCAAAGAGGTTTACAAAATTCCTAGTCTTCACTGAAGGACAATTCTGTTCCCTTACAGCACATTCAGGTTTATCTGGTTTAAATATCTCAAATTTGTATTCAATGCTTTTACCTCAAGATGTTTTAATGTTGACACAAATATCACTCATCACAGCACAGCATTAGAAACAAGAAATATGGCAGGTGGGACCTGCAGAAAATGTAAATATGTTCAAGAAGGCACAGCTATCTGTATGTTGGGGTGTCACTTGAGTCACAGCAATGCTGTGATGTTTGTGACTAAGCATCAACCCCTTGACTGCCGAGTTATACATACATTTACTAACACCACAAGAATATTTAAAAATATAACAATGTCAAGATTTAAGAATGCAAAAAATATTAATCTCAACTGCATTTTAAAAGTATTTTAATTGGTAAAAGTTCATGATGGTTTTCCTTTCTTGTGCATAAAAGCCCAGACTGTATCTTAAATATCCTAGCTCTCCTATGTATTGGAAATGCATAGGTTGATAAACTGAATGAAAGCAGAAAGCATGGAATTCTTGTGTCTTAATTTTTTTATTATGTTTTATTGTATTTATATTTTGTACACATCAGCCTTGACATATCAGTTTTTATTTATGCATCCTACACTTTCATTGTACAATTTCATCCCACTCTAAAGACTGAGCTATTCTAGAGATTTAGGTTTAATTTTGCAATATGCCACAGGGAGAAAAACGTCAGCCTTTGTAACACCTGTACAAACTATTAAAATTAAAAGTTTGAATTGAGGGCTGTGCTCTAATAGACATTGGGAAGGATACACAACAGACAAAATCATTCTTGGATGTCACACATGAGATGTTTATTTCTATGATCAGTGGATAGGAAGATTGTAAGTAAAACACACTGATATATGTGTGAAAAGCACTCCATATATGGAATGTGTCTAGTTCTGCAGTATAACTCAGAGATGGCCAAGACAAATATAAGGGATACATTTACATGAGATAGCCACCTCTCAGATATATGTGAAATCTCTAAGTGGCTGATGAAGCTGGCCTTCAATATCATACCCTTTCTATACCCTGAAAAGAAAATTTTAATAAAATAAACTATCAGCATTCAAAATGGTAAATGCCACTCTATAAGACCAGACTGCCCTCCAAAGTACTTTAGACTGATACCTTAAGTGCATGAGTTTTTCGAGTGCAGCTGCAATTAAAATCAATATCCTCTTCTCAGCTGGAAGCTCAGGGTCTTTCTGTCCGAAGGCATTGATTTAGCTGACCCCTACTCAGGATTCTGACCCTGGCTCTAAGCTGTAATCCAAAGGTTTGTCTTGAATAATACAGAGCAGAGGTGTCCTGAGAAACGCCAGCAGTAAGGACAGTTCCATGTGTATGACTCATGTCTGCCCGCTACATTTATTCCATTTTCCATTGTTTCATACATACTGCTGGCGGGCTTAAATCTGAACTAACTAAACACAGACTGGAATTTCAAGAGTCAGAAATGTATATAGTTACAAATGCAAAATTCTGTATGAACCAGCATGTGATCTTTCACTACACTGACTTTATCATTTGTAAAAATAAGTTCAAATGGAGAGGTCACACACTCCAAAAAAGTTCTGCATCCATACTATTTCATTTACAAAAATAACCTTAAATAACAGAAAGACAGAGCAGGAGGCAGGCACAATTCTTTTGTACTCTTAAGCAAGGTAATCCACTCATACTGGTTCAGTAAATGTCGTGCTGTATAAAATACTTTTCCAGATTGTCATTATAAATGAGAGTTTGTTCTCTACTGATTTGTCTGGTAAAGGTAAGGAATTTTAAAAAGAGTTAAAATAATTTAAAAAATTAAATTGTGTTCAGTAATAAAGTGTATTACTTTATATTTTATAACTAAAAAACACCTATGGAGTTTATTTTTACCCTGTTTTATTTTTTGTGCAATATAATGTCTGGTCGTTCTGATTTTACAGACAAAATTCC